TACTATGTGTTTTCAAAGGAAATGGTCCTAAGGGTTGCTTAACCTAGTTCATAGAATATGTTGTAGGGGAAAGAGATATGGCTAAATATGGTTCTATGTTGCCCATTGCAGTGCCCTGCAGGCCATGGCAAATGGTCAGCACAAGGGGGTGGAGGATGAGTTGCGCACCTGCTTCAAAAAGGAAATTGACGCCACCTCTATGGATGAGTCAGCGGATGTCAAGGAAGGAGTGGCCTACAACTCAAAGAAGCAGGTCTTCCAAGCCAGTGTCAACATTGGAGAACACTTTGTGGTGAAAGAGTTCAAAGTCAAGGCAGATGCTGAGCACTGGATCGATCTTCTGAAGTCATTAGAGGGCAAGAAACTGCTCAAGTCGAACATAGCTTTGATGAAAATGGCAGATGCAACTCGCCAAGCCACAGAGGCAGCATATGAGAAGATCATCCAGGCAAAGCAAACATTCACCCCAGAGTCTGAGCCAACATTGAAACACAGCCATCAAGGAGGGAAAGACATATGGGCCACCCTGTTCCCAAAGTACAAGGAGACGCCTGAAAGCACCTTATGTTCTCCGCAGGTTCGGGTGCCTCAGACCAGCTTGGAGAAGCTGAAGGTGATGGGCTTCTCAAACCCAGTTGTGGGGGAAATCTTTGGGTGGCACCACAACTCGCTATGGAGAGGCATCAACATTATCACCCATGATGGCAACGGAGACATTGACAACATTGGCATTGGATCGGATTTGGTGCACATCGGGTTCATTCGGTGCAGCGGCGAGGATGCTGAGCCCACCGAGAAGGACAAGCAGAAAATGCGACACCTATTGCAAGGCACAAATGTTGTGGCTTGCATCATTGTGACCTATCCAGCCCCTTGCACGCAAAAAGTAACCCCTCTTTCAATCCTTGTCCTCAAGGAAGCTTCAAGCATCCAATGCAAACGCAGAAAACAAAGGCAACCAAAACAGGAAAAGGACTTTATATGTGGCAATCCGGGAAGGAGGCCCTTCTTTACAGGTATATATATATATGTCTTATACATAGATACTGCATACATACACAAATACACTACACATAACTACACATATAAAGCCTAATTCGTCATATAAGTGATGTCTCTTTGTTGAAAAGCCAATCAGTATCCTTCAGGAAAGTAATCAAGCCCTTGGCACATTCCATATTCTATGTACATGAGCTGCAACTGATGTGAAATGCCAGTCAAGGTCAAAATTGGTGTTGCTAGAGCATGGGGAATGCGCAAACCATCCTCACCTTCATCCTCAGAAGAAATGGTGGAAGTCCAACTCTTGCACTTGGTGCGTCGGATTCATAGTGAGGAGTTTCTCGTCAAGTCTCTGGATCTGCAACGAGGTCCAAAGGACTTGCAAAACCTGATTTCTGGGGCCTTTGAGAAGAACCTTGAGACTGTGTACAAGAAGGAGGTGGAGGTTCAGCCACAAGCCAAAAAAACTCAAAACTTCAAACGTGTAGCGGTTCTGGGCGATGGCTTTTGCTTCTGGCATTGCCTGCTGCGGGTCTTGAGGGAGGATTACAAGCCAGTTTCAAGATCCAAGTCTGGTGGGCCATGGAGTCATTCCCGCCTCTTGATTGAGACTGAGCAAGCAAAGGCCTTGCGCTTGGAGTTTGTTTCTGTACCAGCAAGCTGGGGGAGACGCGAACATCCTCGCACAGCTGTCCATTTCTGAACAGGTGCAGCTTCAAGCCATTCAGGAGATATGCCACACCATGGGGATCTGTTTGCGGGTGACCCTTCACCATGAGGCCAACAGTTGCAGAAATTTGTACATAGAATATGCGTACCAGCAACTACAATCCTTTATGACATTTGCAGGCCGTCCCTTAGCACACCATCGTTATGTATATATATACATATGGCAGAAAACAAATTCCTGAAGAGCAAAGAGTGATTAGAACATATGCAATAGACAGAACATATGCATCCAGAATGTCAGGAAAACAAGCAACCACCACACCACCAGGAATAGGACAGAAAAAGAAAGGTAAAACAAATTTACGTATGTATATATATATATATACGTGGTTTGGGTGTGGCGACCTTGACAGGTTGCTCGCAACTGCACTCACCCTGGAGACGCACTCTATGGTCCTGAGAATGCAAGTCCGGTGGGCCACCTGTTGTTCAAGTTTCTGCGTGATCCAACCGGTAAAGCCACAGCTGGCCACTATGACCTGTTGGAACTCCAGGGAGGCGCCCGCTACATTTTACCAGCAAGTGTCCCTCATGTGGGGTCCTTTCCTCCCACCTTGGAACCGATCAGAGATGAAGATTTGCAAGAGACTTGGAGGTGAGCTTCAACACTTTTAGAGCAACTTGTGTATATATCATATATATATACATATACAAAAGCAAATGCTACATGACCGATCCTGTGTTTCAGTTTCAGGATTGGGCCCAACCATGCCCTGGCAATGAAACTGCTGGACATGCGCAAGCTTTGCCAGTTCAGGACACTCGGACAGAACATGGGACTCCAACCCTTGTGTGAGCTTCATACCCTTGGCAAAGGGTACTTAGAATATGGGAATCAAACACTACTTTGGAGCATTTTTGGGAAGGGTACAGGAAGTGAGGCAGCTGGATAGGATTTTTTCAGCGCTCAGGCGTGTTCTGATAAAGCTGAAGCCGATGATGAACTACTTCCTTCATCGACTCTGGTGGTTTGTTGGCTGCATTTCAGAGTTGGTACAATACCTTTGGCAAAAGGTGGTTGGACGCTCGATCTTGACTAGGGTAGCATTGCACATTCGGTTTGTTGAAGCCATTTCAGACTTCATACCCTTGGCCCAAAAGGTACATGGAATACAGGAAGCATACACCAATTTGAAACTATTTTGGAGGGCATACGAGACACCACAATATCCCTTACGATTGAAACAGGGGAGTGAGGCAGCTAGTTAGGACATTGTCAGCTCAGGCGTGTCCTGAGAAAGCTGGAGCCGATGACGAACCACTTCCTTCACAGACTCTGCAGACTCCGGTGGTGTGGTGGCTGCATTTCAGAGTTGATACAATACCTTTGGCAAAAGGTGGTTGGACTGTGGTAGGCTAAGATGACTTCTTTGCATTTTGAAGCCCAGCGATTGAAACACTAGACAGGTTTGGGGGCAAATAGTTGACTCTTTATCGGCTCAGGCATGCCCCAAGAAAGCTGGAGCTGACCTGGCTGATGATCAACCTGTTTCTTTGCCAGCTCTGGACGCTCGATCTTGACTAGGGTAGCATTGCACATTCGGTTTGTTGAAGCCATTTCAGACTTCATACCCTTGGCCCAAAAGGTACATGGAATACAGGAAGCATACACCACTTTGAAACTATTTTGGAGGGCATACGAGACACCACAGGGTCCCTTACGATTGAAACAGGGGAGTGAGGCAGCTAGTTAGGACATTG